TGATATCTGCGTTATCGGGGGGCCATCAGCGGCCACGCGCACGAGACTGCGAACGGCCACGAGTTACCGCCAGCCCCTGGCCAGGCAACAGCTGCTGTCGAGCCACTTCGTTGAAACGAGAGGAGGAGGGGGAGGGAGATAATTGCACAGCACCATGCACTCGCCACGCTTAGGCTACAAACTTGTGGCGACGCGTGTGCATCCGTAAACGGGCTTCGAAGTGTTGGTCGGGTGTGCCTTGGATTCCCCGCCTGCGGGCCGAATGCAGAGCAAGGAAGGCATCTATACACGATACGTACAAGGCGTTGGCGACAAGTGACGTTGGGGTGGGAAGGAAGACGGAGGAGAGCCAGGGAACACCCCCAGGAAAGAAAGACGATGGAGGTAAGAGACAACCGAACCATTTAGAGAATAGCTTGGTTGTCTTGAAACCTGGGTTCCTAGGTTTACCCAGGCAGGTGGGCCTTGGTTTCCGAAGTTCACCCAGCCAGGCGGCGAGTAGAATGAGCATGACATCGCAATACCCCAGGGGGGACCGTTAACTCTTGGGGGAGGGGGGTCGACTCTTTTTTTTTTTTTTTTTTTAGAAAAGCGAATTGGTTTTTAACAGACGAGCTGATACATACATCCCGTGGTCTTGCAGAAGTCCAACCCACCCACCCTCAACTTGGTTTGCAAAACCCATGCGGTGGCAATTGCGGTGCATGCTTGGCGTTGGCTGGTGCATCTCTGCGACCGCGCCAACCCTAGCATGCACGCGCAGCAGCCAGCTAGTTTGGCGCCACCGACGCGGCCGCGGCGGCGCTGACCGCTGGGCGCATCCAAGCGGGCACTTCATTGCGAGTCGGCAACTTGGGCGGGCGCGGTACCACGGCAGCACCGACTACGGACGGCACGATGACAATAGTGGCGATGCCGGTGACGATGTTCGCACCGACGACGGCGCGGCCAGTGCGGGCGCCGATGCTGATCACGCCGGCGACGATGACGGCGTCCCCGCGTCGGTGATGAACATGTTGGGAAGAGTTCGACATGCGCGCGCGGCCGACGCGCGAGAGTGGCCCGCATTGTCTTATTCGATACAGCTCGTCCCCCACACAGCACTCGCGCAAAGGCGCGCGAATGATGTCGGCGGGCGGCGCCAGAGGCCCGTTTGGCAGAATCAGAATTCCATGAAAAAATATCCCGGCAAAGAAACCTAACAGCGATGTGTAGGAGCATATCTGGAAGCATTCCCCTTCAGATTCAGATGAGAATCCTGTTGTAGAATTCTGCTGATTCTCGCAGTCGTAGTCGCATTCGCGATGACAGTCGCAGCGGCAACGGCAGTCGCAGTCACAGCCTCAGCCTCGGCCTGCCTCAGCCTCAGCCTCAGCCTGCCTCAGCCTCAGCCTGCCTCAGCCTCAGCCTCAGCCTGCTTCAGCCTCAGCCTCAGTCTGCCTTCAGCCTCGGCCTCAGCCTCAGCCTGCCTCAGCCTCAGCCTGCATCAGCCTCAGCCTCAGCCTCAGCCTGCCTCAGCATCAGCCTGCTTCAGCCTCAGCCTCAGCCTGCCTCAGCCTCAGCCTCAGTCTGCTTCAGCCTCAGCCTCAGTCTGCCTTCAGCCTCGGCCTCAGCCTCAGCCTGCCTCAGCCTCAGCCTGCCTCGGCCGCAGCATCAGCCTGCCTCAGCATTCAAAATGTGGCCCAGGAGTGGAATTCTGGGAACTAGAAAACACGAAGTGGCCTACAGTTGGCTCCGGGCATTCAAAATCATGCCCAGGAATGGAGTTCTGGGAACTTGAAGAGCACGAAGTGGCCTACAGCTGGCTCCGGGCATCCAAAATGTGGCCCGGGAATGGAGTTCTGGGAACTCGAAGACCACGAAGTGGCCTACAGTTGGCTCCGGGCATCCAAAATGTACGCCGGGAATGGAGTTCTGGGAACTCGAAGACCACACAGTTGGCTCCGGGCATCCAGAATGTACGCCGGGAATGGAGTTCTAGCAGCGCCAAAAACGATTTTGCGAGGATGCCCCAAGCGATTTGGGCTTCGGCGGCAGCCGCCCGGGTCCCGCCCCGACCCCCCTGTGGAGTCATCTGCTGCTCTCTTTTGAAGGCACTAGAAACCTATCAGCAAAAGCTGTTAGGTAACTTGATACGCCTATGGTTTTTTCTTAAGCGTTCGCAAGAGCGCGCGCAAGCATTTTGCGAAAACTGATGTTGCGAAACCACGTGTCTCTGAATGTTGTTTGGACATTCAGTTTTAAAATCGCTACGGAACCGAAGGTTTTTGAAGGGTTCCGGCATGCGCGCGCGACGACGCGCGCGCGTGCACTTCGCGTCATTTGTGGCAAAGGATTCTCGCGACGGCACGCGCGCAAGGGCGTTCGAACGATTCCGACGTGCACGCGAGCGAAGCCCGCTTGGTATCATTTTATGGAAATGTTGAACAGCTTGTGGTTTTCTGAAGAATTCGCAAGAACCCGCGCGTACGCTCTTGTTGGAAATCCGCGTTGCGAAACCATGTGTTTTTATATGTTTGTCCCCACATGTGTCGTGGGATTATGGTTTTCGTCCCTGCCGCGTCGCACCCGCGTCTCCCGCGCGCACACCTCCCCTTCCTCCTCCTTCCTTCCCTTCTCCACTTCCTTCCTCCCTTCACCCACGCACAACCCATGCACGGCACGTGCATCAGACACGCGTCTACATGCAGCCGAACGCATGCACGCACTGGCACACACACACACACCATACAAAGCTAGTGCACGCCTAGCGTGTTCACTGCATGATACACCCACGACGTACGCGCTACATAATGGGCATGCCCATGAGACACACTTCCACATACAGCCTAACACACATCTCACAACGTGCCTCTTCTCGATGCTACAAGGGGGTGCGCAGAGGGTGCGGTCGCTGTTTCGGGCTAGCAAAGCGTGGTAGGCGTGACACCTCGACGCCACAGGGGGTGCGCAGGGGGTGCGGTCGCTATGCGTTAAGGGCTCGCAATTCTGAAAAGGTGCACGCTGTGAGCTCGAATGGCGGCGGGTGCGCACGCGTGCTCGTATTCGAGAGAGGGGGACGTGGATGCAAACGAGGAGACAAAAGAGGAAGAGGAGAACGAGGGACGAGGAGAAAGGAGGAACATGATGATGAGGAGGAGGCACGAGAGCAAACCCAGCACACACACACACACACACATCAATGATGCTGAGATGGCAAGAAGGCGCACACAGGAGAAAGGATGCGGATGTGGAGGCGGACTTGGGAAGACAATAGAAGAGAAGAGGGGAGCAGGAAGAGGAAGAGAGATGAAGATGAGGAGTGAACGGGAGGATGAGTCAAGAGAGGAAGGTAGGAAGGAAACGGATGCGAACAGTGTCCGGAGGAAGAGAAGCAAAAGGTGGAGCCAAAACAGCAAGAATGGTGAAAATGATGGGGAGGAGGCGGAGGGATTACTAGCCGGCCGCTCTGCGGTTGATCGGGGAGGTCTGTATCTAGAAAAAAAGGATGGCGCCTGTGCGCGACGGCGATGGTGAGAATGAGCGGGCGGCGGTGGTGCGACGAGTGAGGATCAGGAGGGTGAAGATCAGAAGTGTGAGGCTCACGAGCTGGAGGTCCCTAGAGGTCATCCGTCCTCCTCCTCCTCTTCCACATTCTCGCTCTCTCCTCCTCCTCCTCCTCCTCCTCCTCCTCCTCCTCCTCCTCCTCCTCCTCCTCCTCCTCTCTCCTCCCACCTCCCTCCCCCGTCCTCCACAATCTTCCTCTCTGCTCATCTGACTCCCCCTCCTCGTGCTCGCCCTCGTGCTAGTCCTCGTTTTCGTCCTCGTCCTCGCCCGGTGCGCCCGGCGCGCCTAGCGCGCCCAGCGCGTCGCCGGAAATGGTCCCTGTTGGCACGCTGGGGGCCCGTGGGGCGGGTTTGCAAAGGACGTCTCGAGCGTGTGCGCCAGATGGGGACACGCCCTGCGTGGATGTCTCGAGCGAGGGCGCCGGATGGGGACACGCCCAGTGCGCCCGGCACGTCTGGCGCATCGCCAGAACTGGTCCCGCGGAGTGCCATGAGGCCCGTGGGGCGATTCTGCGAGGATATCTCGAGCGAGGGCGCCGGATGTTGACACGCCTGGTGCGCCTGGCGCATCGCCGGAAATGGTTCATTGGTTGGGGTCTGACGCATCGCCAGAAATTGTCCCTGGGAGTGCGCCAGGGGCCCGTGGGGCGATTTTGGTAGGATGTCTTGAGCGAGGGCGCTGGATGGGGGCACGCCCGGTGCGACCCGCGCATCGCCTGAAATGGTCCCTGGGGGTGCGCTGGGAGGCGACTTTCTCTCGCGCGCCGGGGGTCACGATGACGTGAGTTCTGCAGGTACCTCAAGACATCAGGAGAGGAAGAAGGGATGGGAATCAGGATGTGGGAGGAGGCAGCAGGAGGAGGAGGAACAGGAATGAGGATAAGAGAAGGAGGAGCAAGAACCAGGAGGAGGAGGACCAGAAAGGAGGAAGGAGTAGGAAAGAAGAGGCGGAATGAGGAAGAGGAGGCTGAAGATGATGCACGGTGCGCCCATCGGGGGCAAATAACTGCATCGACTGAGCTGAAAACAAAAAATACGGCTTTGATGTCATGGTGTCTGGAACATTGGAATGCTCATATGCTCGGTCTTTCTTGGTCATTGGTGCCCTCTGGGTAGCTCCACCTAAAGCCCCAGTACGAAAAGTTGCATGGTATGCGCGGGGAAGTTTTGGCACAACCTTTACCATTTCGGTACACCTTCACAAGTTTCGTGCCCGGACCTCCACGTACGGCAGCGGCGACAAAGGCCGTATGGCGTACACAAGCCGACTTCGGCAGGACCTCACACGTCTCGTGCCCCGTTTCCCTAAATATTTCGGCACAACTCTCGCACGTTTTTTGCCCATTCGGTCAGCGCCCCAGGTGACCAGGCCTCGGCCTGGAGCTAGGAGAAGTAAGCCGAAAGGGGGGGATAAACGGGAAGCAGGAGAACGACGGTGACGACGAAGACAGCCGCCTGGAGGTCGCCCGCCCACCTCCGGCTCGACACCATGAGCTCGGGCGCCACGTTCAGCCGCCAGACCTGCTCGTGGGAGTCGATGGCGCTCCCCAATCCCCGGCCTGCCAGGAAAAAACAGTACCCTCACCCCGGCTTAAGCGTCGTCCTCCTGCCTGCTCCTTATCATTCCTATTCCTCCTCCTCCCCCTCCTCCCCCTCCGCCTCCTTCTTGTCCTCCTCGTCCTCCCCCTCGCCGTCTCCTCACCCTGTCCTCTTCGTCATCCCTCCTCTTCCTCCTTCTGCAAGGAACTATGGTCATGTTGACATAGCTGGACCGATGAAGTTTGAAGGGGTGCTCGGCACTGCCGGACGGCGGGCTTATACATTTTAGCCAAAGGCGGCCACGGATTGAACAGGAACCTGAAGCGTTGTGTCCCCCCACCGGTCTGATGTTTCAGATCGGGTTGTCTTCGCGCCATCCTGTATCACTTGCTTTAGATCTTTAGAGACAGCAAGTGAAGATGAATCAGCACACAGGCTGCAGGCTGGCAAATGGCCGCGGAAAAGGCGATGGCGCAAAATAAGATACTAGCCGGCCGCTCTGCGGTTGATCGAAAGTTTCTGCACATAGAAGAAAGAGCGTGCGCCTGTGCTCGACGACGATGGTGAGAATGAGCGGGCGGCGGTGGTGCGGCGGGTGAGGGTCAGGAGGGTGAGGATCAGGAGGGTGAGGCTCATGAGCTTGAGGTCCCTGGAGGTCATCCGTCCTCCTCCTCCTCCTCCTCCCCCTCCTCCTCGACATTCTCGTTCTCTTCGTTTCTCCTCCTTCTCCTCCTCCTCCTCCTCCTCCTCTTTCCTCCCGCCTCCATCTTCCCTCCTCCGTTGTTCTGCGTCTTCCTCCCTGCTTGTCCTTCTCCTCCTCATGCTCGCCCTCGCGTTAGTCCTCATTGTCGTCCTAGTCCTCGCCCGGTGCGCCTGGCGCGGAGACACGCCCGCGCGCACGGTGCGCCCGGCGCATCGCCAGAAATGGCCCCTGGGAGTGCGCCGGGGACCCGTGGGGCGATTCTGCGAGGATATCTCGAGCGAGGGCGCCGGATCGGGATGCGCCCACTGCGCCCAGAGCTTCTGGCGCTGGGGGCCCGTGGGGCGATTTTGCGTTGATGTCTCGAGCGGGGGCGCCAGATCGGGACGCGTCCGGTGCGCCCGGCACTTTTGGTGCAATCGGCAGAAATGGTCCTTGGGGGTGCGATGGGGGCAGGTGGGGCGATTTTGCAAGGATGTCTGGAGCGAGGGCGCCGGATCGGGGCGCACCCGGTGCGCCCGGCGCGCCCAGCGCATCGCCAGAAATGGTCCCTGGGGGTGCGCTAGGGGCCCGTGGAGCGATTTTGCGAAGATGTCTCAAGCGAGGGCGACGGATGGCGACGCGCCCGGCACTTTTGGCGCGTCGCCGAAAATTGTCCTCGGGGGTGCGCTGGGGGCCCGTGGGGCGGGATGTCTCGAGCGAGGGCGCCAAATGGGGGCACGCCCGGTGTGATCCGCGCATCGCCAGAAATGGTCCCTGGCGGCGCGCCGGGAGGCGACTTGTCGTGAATTCCGCAGGAGGAGGGTGAGGGAGGAACAGGAATGAGGAAGAGAAGAGAAGGAGGAGCAGGAAGCAGGAGGAGGAGGACCAGAAAGAAGGAAGGAACAGGAAAAAAGTGGCGGAATGAGGACGCGTCTGGCGCGCCTGGCGCATCGCCAAAAATGGTCCCGGGCGCGCTGGGAGGCGACTTTCTTGCGCGCCAGGGGTCAGGATGACGCTGACGCAAGTTCCATAAACACTTTTTCATATTGACATGCAACACAGGAAATGCGTTTAACAAGTTGACAGAGCCCCAATCAGCGGGGGAATCAGCGCAACACGGCAGCGTAAAAAGAGGCTTCGTTGACGGCGGGATGTCCGCTCCATTTGCATATGCAACGGCTGCCCTGTGCACTGGCACATAACAACGAGTTATAATCAGCAATGTAAGTTAGAAATGCGTTACACGTAATTCGATTTGAGTTCACGAGCCACGGCGAGGGCGTGCTGAGCTTGATCTGGCCCGCTTACCCTTCTCCTTGATTCGCTCGCTGCGGACGCGAGCCCTCTCTAATAAGGTCGAATAATAAGTTGACCATCGGACGAGGAACCTTTGTAGCTTATCGTCACGCATGCGCTGTTCAAAGTCGTGGATGGAGCCCTCGGCCGTTGTGATCTTGTGGGACTGCAGGATGACCCAGTAGATCTGGCGACCCTTCAGCACGCGACCGCGTTTGTGCTCTTGGCTGTCGAGTATCTTGATGTCTTGGCGAAGCTTGCCCGACAGAGTCTCTGCGAGAGCCTCCGCAAGCTTGCAATTGATGCTCTCGAAGTCACCGGTGTCTTGCAGATCCTCCATCTTGATGCTGGGTTGCTCAGCGACGCAGATGAACTTGCACGCCTGGGAGGGGCGCCCGGAGGCGCTGCCGAATCCTTCGCGCACCTTCTGCTGCCACTCGAACGCCTGGCTGATCCGCGGCAGAAAGGGAACACGTACACGTTACGACTGCTTGATCGGCGCGGTGGCGATAGGGGAACCAGCGACAATGCACTGCGAAGCACAAGTCACGGACTGGGCTGGCGCTGGAGAGTGCGTTTTGTAGCTAGCATGGTCAGGAACCTCGTGTGCGGGTCTGCCAGATGTTTGCTGCGCCTGTGGGACAGGCGAGACACGGCGTGTGGGGGCAGCAGATGCGGAACCTGCGCTTTGTGAAATTCATCGCGTCGGCGGGTCAACCAGCTGTGGTGGCGTTGGCACCATAGGGTGCTTGATCCCGTCTGCGATGTGGTTGGAAAGGAGGTCGTCGTGGTGCGCAGAATCCTGCTGCAACTGTCTCTCGCAACGCTCGAGGCTGCGAACTTCCTCCAGAATGCCATTGGTACGCTTGGTGCGCTGGTCGCGCTGTCTTTCCACTTGGGAGGTAGGGATAAGGACCAGAGCACCCAACTCGCGGATCTCCGTCTGTTGCCCGTCCAAACGGGTCTAAACATCAGAAGCCCGCGCCTTTTTCAGCATCTCGATCAGGAGGGACTGCGGAGAGCTTTTCACGCATGTAGTCCATTGCAGTCCTCAAGGCCTGCACCTCTGCAGCCTTCGGGGCGCAATCGTCAACCGAAATGACACCCAGCTGGCCAGCCTGGGCCCGCACAATATGCAAGTCTTTCTCTCTGCTCAACCGCACGGACTCAGGTGACAATTTCGGAGTATCGTCAAGTTGGGAATGGAGGAGGCGTTGATTAACAGTACCTTCAGCTCGCACAGCTTGCTGTAGCGGTCCTGTTTGATGCTCGTTGCATCGGTTCGCAGGGCGGCCGTCTGGGTCTCGAGGCGGTCACGGAGCTCGTATATCTCTCCGCGCAGGAGGGCATAAGGCGCACCCGGAAGAGCACCAACAGGGATCACGGCGACAGAGCGGATCTCGCTGCGCGAGAGCTGGGCCTTGAGTCGCTCTGATCCCTGACCCCTGCGACCTGCATCTCAAGAGCCGCAATGTTCGGATTTCATGGTCGCGAGCTCGCAGTGGTCCCGACCTCGGTGTGACTCAACAGCATCGACTTGATACTGGACCTCTCCGATGATCTGGCAATCCTCGGCGATCCGGCGATCGATCAAGACGAGGTCCTGACGCGAATCGTCGCGCACGATGGCTGTCTGTGACACCGTCTCAGCAACAGTTTGCGCAAGGCCCGAGAACTGTCGAGCAGCGAACGTTTGAACCTGATCTCTGAGCTCAGCCAAGTCTTGGGCAGGAGGCAAAGCGGGCTGATCTGCGGGGGGTCTCTGCGAGGTTGGCCTCTGGGAGGCTGGCCTCCAGGAGGCTGGCCGCGAGCGCCTCTAAAGAGGACTGCGGCTGGCCTCGCCCCGCGCAGAAGTCAACGTATACCGATCGGGGGATGCTCTACTTCTGCGCGCTGCGGGGGTCCTGATCGCCAACTCTGGGCCTGAGCCACCGCCGCGGGACTCGACAGCACGCGCGTCCTCGGCCACAGGGGGCGCCGCACGGTTTGGATCCCAGGCCTCGTGTCCCACCGGCAATGACGCGCGGAAGCGGTACCAAGAATAGTACGCTCACGCGTGGGTCGTTCGACCGGCTGGGACGCGTAGGTGTTGCCACCGACGGGGATCGAAGCGATCGCGGCGTCGGCAGCAGTGACACGAGCGAAGTTCGGAGCAGAAGCAAAAGCAGGAGGTTGAGAAGTGAGGTCCCGGCCAAGGTGGGGTCCCTCCCCCAAGCCTGGCGTGTTAGAAATACGCGTAGGGATTGCTCCCGACTGGCAACGAGAGCGATCCCCAACGCGTGCCAACTCGGCCTCCAAACGTACTTTTGGGTCCGCCAGCGGGGTGGCGGGGATCGGTATCGAGCCAGCTCCGTCTGCCTTCTCCAAAGCGCCGTCGAGCCTACGAGTCGTCGGAAAGTCTGCTCGCTGAACTCCGTCAGCCACCCGCGAGGGAGTGGCCATCGGAGCAGAGAGGGGATCGACGACCTAAGGTTCGACGGCTGAAGAGCGAAGTCGGAAAAGCTGATAACCGATGGACGGAAGGGAAAAACCGAAGTGCGTAACCGCCAGAAGGGGTCCGTAGGTAGAGGAGTAGATGACTGTGATCAGGATGCTTTCCCTGCTCACAGTCAAGAGCAAGCTCTTCGCGTGTCAGTTCAATACCTGGGCCGAAAAGGGCAGCGGCAGAGAGAGTAGAGGGGAGAGAGTGAGGGGATTCACACACACACACATCGCACACCTAGCTGGCGTCTGCTTTGGTTCCCGATGTTTGCCGATGGCGGCCCCTGTCCATGCTGAAACTGTGCTACTTACGTGGTGGGACGACGGGAAGGAGTGAGCGAGACGACCGGCCTTCGGCGGAGGTAGCTTGACTCTTCCCCCTGCACCATGCCCCGGCGTCTGGGCGGGCGGTGCCGCGAGCGACCAAACAGAGTGCTTGGCACGGCTCCAAGACGGGCCCAGGAGAGCCCAAGATGGCCTCCAATATGCCACCAAGAGGCCCTAAGACCGCTCCAGGACGGCTCCAAAGGCTCAAAGTGACCACGAAGCCTCCCAAGGACGTCCCCCGAGAGGACGACATCCTTCCACCCCCTGGGAGAAAATCAATGCGTTTGGCCTTCTCACACTTTTGCTTCCAATGAGCTGGCTCCAACACGGACCCAAGAGCGCCCCAAGATGGTTCAAATAACTGATTTGTTGGGGTGCAGAGGGGCGGGGGTTGCCAAGAGAACCCCAGGAGGGCCCCAAGAGAGTCCCAAAGGCCTCACAAACGGCCCAGGTATGACCAAGGCAGGCTGCCAAGAGGCTTATTTATCAAAAAGGTCGAGAAGGCATGTGGCATGTATGATTGACTCCTGGGTCTGCGCGGGCTGATCCCAAGATTCGGTTTGACAGTTGCCCCGCCCCCATCGCTTCAGGATGGCCTGGTGGTGATATATATATATATATATATATATAACATATATATATATATATATATATATATATATATATATATATAACAGCCGCAGGCGGAAGCGCCAGCGGCGGGCGGTCGCGGGCGGGCTGCGGCCGCGACTAACGGCGGGCGCGCGCATGGTGGTGATACGCGAAGCGTCAATCATGTATTGCACCGCGTAGATATTATCCCGCGGCTAGCACACAGATAATATTTCAGAAGGGGAATCAAGGCCCCACATCCTCCTCCTCCTCCTCCGTCTCAGGAGGGCCCACAGGCCTGCCAGCTCGGTCCCGGAGCCGACCACGGCGCACGACCTCCAGCGGCGCCCCCGCGGGGCGAGGGCCGCACCGGGGCCTGCCTTCGGGAAGAGCTGCTCCTCGGAGGCGCTCAACACTGGAGTCGTCGAAACCGCAGCCGCCGCCGCCACCGTCGCCACCGCCGCCGCCGTCGTCGTCGTCGTCCAACCCGCTGCGCCCCCCCCGCATCATCCCTGTCAAAAAACCAGACGAAGTACACTGTGGGACAACATCTTGAGTCATGTTCGTGAGGCCCGCGAGCGCTTTGTATTGTTTTTGACAGGGGCGGCGGGGGTGCCAGCATGTTGCCTGCTGTGCGCTGGGCTACCATCCAAAAACAAAGTCATTCACTTCGTGGAGCTCCCCTTATGTGCATATCATGTTCCTGTCGCTTCTCGCTGAAGAACTCTGTCAGTAAGCACCTGGGTGTGAGAGCGAGTCGGCGTGGACGACGGGCGCGACAACGACGACGGCGACAGCGACGACTTCACTGACTTCAGTGGGCATACGTCAGGAAAGACGAGGGATTTACAAGTGGAAGAGCGAGGGGGCATTGGACAACCAAAGGGGAGAAGACTGAGCGAATCTGAGCATGAGCGATCTGAGTGTGAGTGAATCTGATTGTGAGTGAACCCGGGCATGGTCGAGTGCAAGTGCCAGGGAGGGAGTCTAGGTATGGGAGGGTATGGGTACGAGAGGGTCTTAGAATGCGCAAATCTCATCATAAATGAACCTGAATGAGAGTGAGTCTGAGTGTGGGTGTGAGTGGATATGGATATGAGTATAACGCATACGAGTCTGGGTCTGAATGGGTCTGAGTACGTGTGAATTTGGCTATGAGAGAGTCTGAGGGTGGGTGGGTCTGAATGTGAGTGATTCTGAATGTGAGTAAGTCTGAGTGTGAGTGCGCCTATAACTACGGATATGACGAATACGAGACTGAACATGAGTGGGTCTGAAAACGAGCGAATCTGACTACGACTGAGTCTGAAGGTGTGTTGGTCTAACTGTGAGTGAGTCTGAGCGTGCGCAAGTCTGGGTGAGAGTGAGTCTCAGTATGAATATGCTGAGTGCTAGTCTGAGTATGAGTGAGTCTGAAGACGAGTGAGTTTGCGCGTAACTGAATCTGAACATCCTCACAATCTGGCCCCCCTGCGTGCGGAAGCCAGCGCCTCGCCCGAGACATCCTCATAATCTGCTCTGGACGCAGCCGAGTCTGGTCAGCAAAATAAGCAAACCACGCGAAACATCCTCGCTGTATAGGCCACCATGGATGCGAGAAGCAGCGCCTGGCTCGAGACGTCCTTCAAATTTGCTCCGGAAGCGGAGGATGTTGGGAATCAAAAGCGGCACCCCGCTCGAGACATCCCCTCCATGTTGGCGCGAACGAAGGAGTGAGATACCCTCTGGCGGCCCCCATTGGGAGCGAAAACCAGCGCCTGGCTCGGGACATCCTCAAAATCTGTTCCCAAAACGGAGAATGTCGGGAATCAAAACACGCTCGAGACAAACCCGACATTTTGGCGCGAACGGAGGAATGCAGTACCCCCTGCCGGCTCCCCCTCGGGGGTGCTGAAACCCGCGCCTCGCTCGAGACATCCTTAGAATTAGCTCCGCCGACATCATCACCATCACCATCATCCACCATCATCAGTATCATCAGTATCATCAGTATCATCAGTATCATCAGTATCATCAGTATCATCAGTATCATCAGTATCATCATCATCATCATCATCATCATCATCATCATCATCATCAGCATCACCATCATCCCCATCATCGGAATCACAATAATCATCACCACCATCATCATACTATAGCATATCAGAGCGTAACATACCACATCATGATATATCATAACATAGCATAACCTAGCACACCAAGTCACCACAACACATAATAGACACTAGCATACCACATCATAATACACTCAAAACTTGTGTTAAGAAATCTTCGGTTAAGAAATTGAGACCCACCTTCGATGGATTTCTTAACTCCCGTGCGAGACCCAGCTTTGGCCCCAGAATTTCTTAACGAATATGGTGTTGCACGGCGACCACCGGCACGGCCAACCTGCACGACCATCCAGCACGACCACCCGGCAAGCCCACCAGCACGACAACCAGCGCGACCACCCAGCACGACCATCCCCCGAGCACGACCACCAGCACGACCAGCCACCAATACGATCACCAGCACCACCACCAGCACGACCACTGGCACAACTCCCAGGACGAGCAGCCGCACGACCACCTGGACGACCACCTGCACGACCACAAGCACAACCACCAGACGACCACCAGCACGACCACTGGCATAACCCCCAGCATGACCAGCCGCAGGACCAGCCGCGCGACCACAAGCATGATCACCAGCACGACCCCCAGCGCTACTAACCACCAGCACGACTGCCAGCACGACCAACGACCAGCAGAGCCACCGCACAACCACCCGCAGGACCACCTGCTCGACCACCCAGCATGACCACCAGCGCGAATACCCAACACGAGGCGGGGGGTTGTGCTGAGAATCCCTGCTGAGGGGTTGTGCTGGGGAGTTGTGCTGTTGGGTTGTGCTGGAGGGTCGTGCTGGGGGTTGTGCTGAAAGGTGGTGCTAGGGGTTGTGAGGCTGCGTGGGGGGTTGTGCTGGGGGGTTGTGCTGTTTGGTTGTGCTGGAAGGTCGTGCTGGGGGTTGTGCTGGGACGTAGTGCTAGGGGTTGTGAGGCTGTGTGGGGGGTTGTGCTGGGGGGTTGTGCTGTTGGGTTGTGCTGGAGGGTCGTGCTGGGGGTTGTGCTGGGAGGTATTGCTAGGGGTTGTGAGGCTGTGTGGGGGGTTGTGCTGGGGAGAATGTGCTAGTAGATCGTGCTCGGGAAAGCTGGAGGATTCTGCTGGGGGGAATGGTGCTGGGCAGGGTTGTGCTAAGGGTTCGGGGATTATGCTGGGGAGGGTTGTGCTGGGGTGGTGGTGCTGAGATCGTGCAAGAAATTAGGCTGAAGGGTTGTGCTAGGGACTTGTGCTGACGGGTTGTATTATGCTGGGGGAGGATTGTGCAAGAAGACTGTGCTGAGAGATTGTCAGGGGAATTGCTGAGAAATTATGCTCGAATTCTTTGCTGGAGGGCTGTGCTAGGGGAGCGTCGTGCTTGTTGTCTGATATGACACACTGGATTCTAGATTTGCTCGCCCTTTTCAGCTAAATCTACATTTGAATGAAGCCGCCGTGGGCTGCTTATGTTGCCCTTATGGAACGTGGCGGCATCATAGTATTGAAGAAATTAATTTCATAACATTGAAATTCCCAAATATGACATCCCGACATAATACCCCAACTGAGTTCGAAATGTGATCTCCAAAACTAAGACCAAAGAAAAATCGGCATCACGAAATTATTTCCTCTTATAATTTTGGAATAAACGGTTCTTAAAACACCATTTTCCGGAGAAAAAGAATTAGCATAAACTTTCTCTACACGCTCAATTCAATGTGATGTTATTTTTCCGAGTCGAAAACTTACTTCGTCTGCTTCTCATCTTGTCGTTCCAGAGCGCAGTGGCAGGAACATATTAAAAACATATGTTTTAAATGATCGACATTCTCAGACATGGAATCCGCAAGCAATATTCTGACAAATGAGAGATTGAACTTCGAAAATCAGCAAGAAATGAAACGTGAAAAGAAATGAAACAAATCCAAAAACTAATCAGCACAAACCTTCTCTCAATTCATTTCTCCTGCCACCTACAACTGTACTTCGAAAAAAATATAGAAAATGGTCTGTGAAATCTCAAACAATGAACTGCATTCCTTACACCCGTTCGACCACCGCGCAACCACCCGCAGGACCACCTGCTCGACCGCCCAGCATGACCACCAGCACGAGTACCCAACAGGAGGCAGGGGGTTGTGCTGAGGGGTCATGCTGAGGGGTTGTGCAGGGGGGTTGTGCTGTTGGGTTGTGCTGGAGGGTCGTGCTGGGGGTTGTGCTGGGAGCTAGTGCTGGGGGTTGTGAGGCTGCGTGGGGGGTTGTGCCGTTGGGTTGTGCTGGAGAGTCGTGCTGGGGGTTGCGCTGGGAGGTAGTGCTAGGGATTGTGAGGCTGTGTGGGGGGTTGTGCTGGGGGGTTGTGCTGTTGGGTTGTGCTGGAAGGTCGTGCTGGGGGTTGTGCTGGGAGGTATTGCTAGGGGTTGTGAGGCTGTGTGGGGGGTTGTGCTGGGGAGAATGTGCTGGTAGATCGTGCTCGGGAAAGCTGGAGGATTCTGCTGGGGGGAATGGTGCTGGGCAGGGTTGTGCTAACGGTTTGGGGATTATGCTGGGGAGGGTTGTGCTGGGGTGGTGGTGCTGAGATTATGCAAGAAATTAGGCTGAAGGGTTGTGCTAGGACTTGTGCTGACGGGTTGTACTATGCTGGGGGAGGATTGTGCAAGAAGACTGTGCCGAGAGATTGTCAGGGAAATTGCTGAGAAAGTATGCTCGAATTCCTTGCTGGAGGGCTGTGCTGGGGGAGCATCGTGCTTGTTGTATGATATGACAGACAACACTGGATTCTAGATTTGCCCGCCCTTTTCAACTAAATCTACATTTGAATGAAGCCGCCGTGGGCTGCTTATGTTGCCCTTCCGAAATGTTGTGCTGGAGGGCTGTGCTGGGGGAGCGTCGTGCCTGTTGTATGACACACAACACTGAATTCTAGATTTGCTCGCCCTTTTCAGCTAAATCTACATTTGAATGAAGCCGCCGTGGGCTGCTTATGTTGCCCTTCCGGAACGTGGCGGCATCATAAGATTGAGGAAACCTAGCTCAAATACTTGAATTCCTCAAGAATTACATTCGGAAATAAGATTCCAAAAACAAAAATCGAAATCACTAAATGATTTCCTCATAGAGGTTTGAGCTACACGGTTCTGAAAACAACATTTCCCTGAGAAAAAGATTGTTCAGAAACTCTCTCTACACGCTCAATTCAATATGCTTGTATTTCTTCCATTCGAAAACTTACTTCTACTGTTTTTCATCTTGTCGTTCTGGAACGCAGCGGCAGGAACACATTAAAGAAATACGGTTTAAATGATCGACATTCTCGG